AGTACATACAAACACTTGTATGCCGAACTACAAGTTATCGAATGTCCATAAGTTCTTGGAGTTAAAGATTTGTGTGCGACGCGAGACGCTTGGTGCGGTGGGGTAGATGGGGAGAAATAAGGTTAGTTTCACTTAGAGCTCGCCAAGAAGGTAAATAAGATAAGATGAAGTGGGACAGCGGTGTAGTCCAGACAGTTTTGGTTATGGAAGGGCGGGCACATTTTTGGAAAGCGCATGAGTTTCTTGGGTCGGTATCTTGTGTGGAGAAAACTGGTAAATGAGCTGGGTTTACGTAATAAGGATACATGAAAGAGTAAGTTTTTGGGAGGGCGGAAGAGTTAATTTGAAATCTATTTTCTCATACTCTCTAAATAGGAAAGATGAATACATAATATCTAAACTTTCACAACAATCTGTTCCTTGAAGAGTTTTTATGGTGTTCAAAGATTGTTGGCGAGTATGAGGAGGCCTCATGCACAAAACTAGCGAGGAGAGGCACTCCCCTTTAACTAAGCGAAGAAAATGGGAAGCTCCTTTGCGTTCAAGGACTCTTGGCCTGCGTAAAGCTTCATGATGTAAATAAAATTTGAGGGATTTAGTTTAGTTCCTATGAGATAGTCTACGCTGATAATTTTTAAAAGGTTTATTAAGTCGACTGAAAAATAATTAAGGAGAATACATAAAGCTCCATTTTCTGGGTTAAGAACTTCATGATTTCGTTTATCAGTTAGACTAATCTGTTTCTGGAAAGTCTGATATATTAAGACTGTCGAAATGGCTTCTGCAGGCATTTGAACTTCCCAAGTTTATCCAATTACATTCCCAAGAGGCGCAAAGTCTCATACATATATGCACAGTCACTTAATGCTGCGGTCACCCTGAGCGATTGGGTATGTACTAAGTGCACACATAAAAATTTCTTTTATAATTCAAACTTTTCCTCCATCTTTACTCTGATAAAAAATATGCAAGCACCTTTAAAAAAAAATTAAGTAACAATACCATCTCAAATGATTATTCTCTAATCATCCCTCCAATAATTATATTAGTACAACATAGTTATATCTACTCTCCCTCTCCCTCTCACTTTCTTCCTCTCTCAGAACGCCGGACGCTCTTTGCTAACGCCAACAGCTTAATTTCTCCAACCACATATTCTCAACTGCAATCTGCTACTCTCACATTATCTCTCTTACAATAACTGTTTTGCGCAAAGAGTGTCTCTGCTTCTCATGCAATACTCGAAACGCCCGCTGAAAGGAGCTCGTAGCATCTCTACATACCAACTCGACGTGAACTAAATTCAGCTTAGTGTTTTTGCTCTCAACCAGCCTCTCTAGCACTTCGGCTCCCCAACGCAAGGACACCCATACCCGACTCTGTGCCAACACATCTCCTAACCGATTGCCAAGCGTCGTCAATTTAGACATATTCGCAACCCTATATGCCGTCATCCAGCAGCTATGTCTAACCGGCATAAAGTTCATGTGCGTCTGTTCGTATGTGTGTGTGAGTGTGTGTGTGTGCGCGTTTTCGCCAGCTCATTAAAAAAGGCGCAAATAATTTTCATTTGATTTTTTGCTCATTATTTTTCCCCAACTACGACTTGCGCGGCTTGTCCTCAACATTACTGTTGTTGCCATGAAAGTCGCGAAAATTCGCGATTGGGTCGCTAGTTGTGCCGTCTTTGCGCCGATTGGCTGCGGCCGTGGAATGGCAACGCGTCGCTTAAGAGCCGCGCAATTCATACAACCATCAGCCTCGCTTAGTGGCGGGAAGTCAACGATTTGGGGCGGGTGTTGGCATTGAGACTGCGACAAAGTGGTTAGTGTGGAGGTGCAGTTGTGCGGAGGGCGCCACTGTTGTTACACATTTTGTTTATTGTTTTCTTATTAATAAGTAACTTCATGCATCAACTTAAAGGGCTGCAAAATAAATACCTTCCGCACGAATTTATTATTACACATTTCGCTATTCGATTTTTGGAAGCGGGCTTTGAATGGGACGCTCGTGGGACATCGAGCCTTTGAGGAACGAGCGCTTGTGAATGGAAGTGAATTTATGGGAGATGAATCTTTAGAGTGCTGCCTTTGTTATTAAAGCATATAGTATTAAATATTAAATTGGGTATGTTTGTGGGTGGTGTTCCATATGTGATTTTGTTGACAAAAGCTGTCTTAGTACGTAAAGCTAGGAGTGGAACAATGTGAGCGATCATTTATACACCAGAATAAAAATAAGATGGCGCACACAAAGGCAACTTCGCTATCTTTTACAAGGTAGAGAGAGAATTGATTAAGGTGATAAAGAGCCAAGGTCCACTGTGCGAACCATAATCAGACAATGTGAAATCAGAAACCCCATCGTGTAAGAGAATTGTGACATAAAATGGCCAAACGTTTATTTTTCTGCTGTCTCACACATGAAATCGTTCGGTTAGGGTAGACTGACTTTCCTTGAGCCCCATCCTCAGGGTCCATTGGTAACGGACCCTTGTGCTTATCAACGCAAGATTTTGCTGAGATTTCGATTAGCCGATACCCACACAGAAGTGGATTAAATGAAAAATAAGCGAAAGAATGTGCAAAAGACATATAAACAGTAAATTAGCCCAGTGCAGTAATATTAGGTTAAGGAAATGCTGGATATCAGACTCCTTTTAAGTTGACAACTCATGTTTTGCTGGTAACAGGTTAAGCTTGTACTACACTATTCTTGAGTCTCTAACCACTGATTATCTTGTTAGTCGATAGCTCCCCCGCAGAGATCCTACCTTTAAGCTGCGAAGCTCGACCGTGATCCCCCTGCATAATTATATAATTATGAACCATCCGTCCATTGTTCTTTTGTGCTCTAAGGAAATTTGTTTCTCCGCCGCTTTCACCTAACAAAATTAAAACAAAAAAGAGAAAGAAGCTCAAAAACCAAAACAAGCTGTCGCCATGTCCTTGACCCAAATATCAACCTTCCCCCAAGACCAGCGCCATAAAACGTAACTGTCTGCCTTGGCTTGACTTCTCCACTTATTCACTCTGCCCTTAAGTTTCATTCACAAAAATTTGTTTTTTCTTCGGTTTATTCGTATGTGTCTTACTAGCCAAGAGCTAGAGGCTTTGGTTAGAGCTCCCGCTAAAAGAATTTTTAAGTGTTGCCATTTAACCTTCAAAAATTGTAACAAACAAACGGACGAACAAACGTGACAACGTCTGCGACATCCTGCAAAACCTGAAAACTTGGCTTCCGTTTCATGTTGCCGCACAGGGAAACACACCCACACATTCGCACAAAGAGCCAACCAAGCGAGCATTTAGAAACATTTGAGACTCAAACACACACACACACACACACGCAGAGACCCAGAAAGGACTTTCCCTTCATTCACTCATGCATGTTTATGGCTTTGTTTGGCTGTTTGTGCATGTATGTGTACATGTGTGTCTGTGTTTGGAAGGGAAAAAGTGAAAATATTTTGCACTTCAGCACCCACAAGCGCATATCCTTCTATACATCACAGCCACGCGCAGTCTGTAGTAAGACCAATGACGGTAAGAATTGCCGACGGTTGACTGGCCTTGGATATCACTTCGGCTTGGGCGGTTGTTTTGAAAAAGGGTACAGAGAAGGTGCAACCAAAAGTGAAATTTTATACACTACTTGGGAAAAGCGTGGAGAACAACACACATACACCAATACTTATACGTGTATATGCGAACCACAAAGAGTAAAGACGTCTGTGCCGATAACAATTCTAACGGTAAATGCCAGCTCCACCTCAATTTATCCTGTTGAGCCAAACAAAAAGTAGCCACAAGAAAGCCAGGCAAGAGAAGTGAAGAGGGGGAGAAGAATAAGGACGTCGAAAGTAAGGGGGTACGTGTGTGTGACGTAACACTTACCGTAAAGGATGCGGCAGGAAGTATGAAAGCAAGGCAAGCCTGGCGTACTTACGATAAGCATTGTGTTCGGCCTCAGTCAGCCGAAGTCTAGAAGGCAAGGAAATGTCTAACTTGCCGGCTTTTTACTTGCCACAAAAAAAAAAAAAAAAATGAAAATGAAACTAAAAATTAAAACAAAAGTAATGGAAGAACTGGGCCAAATGTATGCAAATGTCCAAAAGGGGAATGTCTATTTTTGGCAAAAGTTTTGGATTAGAAATACGAAAACGCACACGCAAATAGTGCAGGCAGTTAAGACTTATGTAGGTATGTATTATTTTGAATTTTTTATTTACAAACTGAAGAAAAATAAGTCTTGAAGGTTAGCACAACCGGTTCCGCAAAACCTTGTAAGCTCTATTCCATTCAAATCACTGAAAATGAGAAGACATCTTAGAAAACGCAAAAGATCGGTGATAACGCTCTATCCTCCGGTCGTTAGAAAAGGAGGAACTGGCATAAAATTCAAACCACTCCAATATTTTCCTTACCATTCTATCTACCAAGCGGAGGGATCTACTATTGTATGAGAAGAGTCTACAAGGTCTCAGAGAATCAAGATTCAGAAGTAAAAAACAGATTCACTCCTCTGTTCCCACAGCAAATTTTTCAAAGGCGAAACAAGAGTATTTTATGTTTTAAAAAAAATATCCATTTACAGTTCCGAAAACTTCAAAAAGAGCTTTTAATTTTTTGGATTGTATTGGTTTACGATTTATTTACAAACCAAAAAGGGGAAAACAAGATAATCCGTATCTTTTCACAACATTTACCGTCGTATGCGTGATAATCGACTGATTGCCATGTGGCTTATGGGAGGTCTAAAGATTACCCAGCGCCACCAAAGCTATGCGCGTTATCAACCCGTTAGGGGTCTCTTATCGCTTCAGGTTAAGCCTCCTGTAGATAATATTTTGATTATTGTCGAAACGGAATGTCATTAAAGCCAACAAATTTCGTTCGAAGTGTTATTGCTTGGGTGGATCAAAGAGTAGTCGATAAGAGCTGCTAATCAACATCTTTACTGGTGTATAAATGGTACTGAGCAGCTAATGCGAAGATTAGTCTGTTTACGTTTCAGAACGAGTATAGTTTCAGGTTTGTAAAATATCCTTCTTTTAAAATGGTCTCTCGGTTGGTGTCAGTGCTGATCCTGTTGGTATTTTGCGGCCACGAACTAGCCTCAGCAGAGAAACCCTGGTGGCAGACAGCATCATTCTATCAAATATATCCACGTTCGTTCAAGGACAGTGATGGTGATGGTGTGGGTGATTTGAATGGAGTCACAAGTGTGCTGCCGTATTTGAAAGAAATCGGCATTGCTGCCACTTGGCTCTCACCCTTTTTGGAATCGCCAATGGCTGACTTTGGTTATGACATTTCTAATTTCACCGCCGTTGATCCGCTCTTTGGTACAATGGAGGATTTCGACCGCATGGTGGCCAAGGCCAAAGAGTTGGACATCAAAATAATTTTGGACTTTGTACCAAACCACTCGAGCGATGAGTGCGATTGGTTCATACGATCGGCCGCGCGAGATCCTGTCTATAAGGACTACTATATCTGGCATCCAGGCAAGGTGGTGAATGGAGAACGCCAACCACCAAACAACTGGGTGAGCGTTTTCTATGGCTCGGCGTGGGAGTGGCACGAAGGACGGCAGGAGTATTATTTACATCAGTTCGATAAGAAGCAGCCGGATTTCAATTTCCGCAATCCCGTAGTGCGCGAGGCGATGAATGTGCGTAAATACATAGTGGTTCACAACGGGGTTGTTTTTTTTTTAATATATATTCATTTTTGAATGTAGAATGTTTTACGATTCTGGTTGGATCGTGGTGTTGATGGCTTCCGCATTGATGCTATTTATCACGCGTTCGAGATCGAAGCCGATGAAAATGGCGATTATCCGGATGAACCAGTGAGCGGCTGGAGTGAGGACCCACAGGACTATGGTTATGTGCGGCACATTTATACAGTGGATCAGTGGGAAACCCCGCACTTAGTGTACGAGTGGCGGCAGATCTTGAAAGATTACCAAACAGAGCATGGCGGCGATGAACGGTGAGTGGAAGAAGACGAAAAAATGTGTTGTTTTAATAATCTATCGAGCGTAGCCATTAAATATGGAGCTGGACTTCTTTGCAACATACCTTTCTGAAACATTTTTCCACTCTCTCACAGCATACTGATGGTGGAAACATGGTCACCTATAGAGATCGTTATGCAATACTATGGCAATGAAACAGCAGACGGCGGACAAATACCTTTCAATTTCCAAATGATATCTAACCTTGGTTATGACTCCGACGCATATCACTACTCGGAAATGATAAATCTCTGGTTCGAACACATGCCAGCCGGCAGAACACCGAACTGGGTGGTATGAAAAACACACACATAGAGCTTGTTCACTAAAATACTTTTCCACTCTCCACAGATCGGAAATCACGATAAGAATCGGGTAGGCTCTCGCTTCGGCACGGAGCGCATTGATCTCTTCAATATACTATTACTCACATTGCCCGGCTGCAGTATTACCTATAACGGCGAGGAGATCGGCATGACGGATGTATGGATCTCGTGGGAAGAGACAGTCGATCCGCAGGCATGCAATAATGAGCAAGATGGATATGAGTGGCGTTCCCGTGATCCGGCATGTACACCCTTCCAGTGGAGTGACGCGGCTAATGCTGGTTTCACCACCGGCCGTAGCACTTGGCTACCGATCTCGGCGGACTACAAACGTTTGAAGGTTAAGCGAGAACGTGGTGTGGCGCTGAGTCATTTGAATATTTTCAAGGAGCTGCAAAAGCTGCGGCAATTGGCTACGTTCCAAGATGGCGATGCGGAGGTGAAGGCACTAAATAAATATGTATTGGGTGTGAAGCGGTAAGTTGAAGTTGATAAGTGTGCGAATTGTTATTTTGAATACACAGACATTTAATGTCTTTGCAGGTCTCTTCGCGGCAATCACACTTACATAACTCTACTAAATATCTTTGGAAACATTGAGAACTTCAATTTACACGAACACTTTGCTAATTTGTCAGCGGAATTTGAATATGTTTTGATTACCGATCGGTCAATCAAGCATAAAGGGTGAGTATATAGAGAGGAGAGAATGAGGGAGGGAAATAAAGATAACAAATTAATTTTTCAATTCACAGCGATAAGGTTTCTGCGAGCAGCGTCACCCTCATGCCACACGAATCGGTTGTGCTGAAGTCTACCAAACGGCAGTAAATGTTAAAGCTTATTGAAACAAAACAGTGGCTGTTATAAAATATTATCGGAGCTTAATGAGTACTCCTGGTGTCAAAGTCTCCCTGGTCTTTAAGAACGTTTATTTTTCGCCCTCCATTAACTTATGTTCGCAATTTAGACCTACCACACGTCCGTCAGGTCTATAAAACTGTTAAGTGGCACTTAGCAACTTGAGTTTATCAGCTTAGGAATTAGATATGACTATCGTGGTATTATTATTTTAATTTTTAAATATTAGTCTTAGGGGTAAATATAAATTATGAATTCATAGTTAACTGGATAAGTGCTTTTATAATGTTATATTTATATATATTTTTAAAATGTTAAATATGTTTATGTCGGTGCAAGTCATTTTTGAGCGGTTTGAACTGACAAGGCATCAGGGTGATTGGTCTATATGACGGCGGAAAAGTTTCGTCATCACCTGCGAGCTGCCCCTTTTGTAAATTATATTGTTATATTGGTCAAGTAAGAAGTTCGTTCGGTTTTTGACTAAGAGATGGCATTATTGTCCATAGTACTGGTGTTACGTGTCGCATCATGTCATACTATACGGCGCTGAAAACTTGTTTATTTATTTTATGGGCCCGACACTGTAAACGAAGGAGTAGCACAAAATTGATTTGCTAGGTTCCGTTCCGGTAATTTCGATGTCAAAGATGAGCCACGCGTCGAGAGGCCTGTCGTCGAAAATTACGATAAAATCATGGAAATACTGGAAACAGACCGTCACGTGAGCACTCATTTAATTGCTGAGGAACTAAAGATAAGCCAGAAAACCGTTTGCATAACCTAATTCAAAAAGAAGCTCGATGTTCCATTTGCGAATCGCTACAAACTCGAAACGCTTTTGAAGCGGATTGAAACTGGCAATAATAAATGGGCCACTTACGACAATATCGAGCGCAAAAGATCGTGGTCAAAGCTCGGGGAAGCGGTCCAGACAGTGCCCAACACCGGATAGACGACCAGGAAGGTTTTGCTGTGTGTTTAGTGGGATTGGCAAGGAATCATCTACTACGAGCTACTCTCCTACGGCAAAACGATCAATTCGGCCCTTTAATGGCAACAAATGGACTGCTTGAAGGCAGCACTCATCCAGAAGAGGCCATCTTTGATCAAGAGAGGCCGAATTGTGACCCATCAGGACAACGCCAGGCTCAGATGGGAGGTCATAATGCACCCACCTTATAGTCCGGACCTGGCACCAAGTGATTATCATCTTTTCCTGGCCATGGCAAACGCGCTTAATGGTGAGAAGTTGGCATCAAGAGAGGCTTGTGAAAACTGCAGCTTTCTACGAGAGAGAGTTATCATATTTGAAAAACCAATAAAAAAAACGGAACGAACTTTTTACTTGACCTAATATTATCTCTTATATGGCAGGGTAACCACCCTTGCAAGAAAAACGAAAGCACTCCCTTCTGTGTGAGGCGATCGCATCTATCTAACTGTTTTGCATCTAGGAATAATATGTTCCACATGGAAGTTAGGTCACATTTTTGCATCAGACGAGCATTAACCTAGCCATTCTCGACCCAAACGCGTTTTTAAGCAACAATGCGATTCGTTGTTAGTTATCTTTACTTATTTAAAGGACACTTACTTGTGTGAGAATAGTCATCACATGCATTTGAAGTATGTATGTACAGTACACTGGGATTTGGTGTGCCAAGTAATTCTCGACAGTTCGCTGGATGAATAGAATGTGTTATTTTACTTCAACTGACTGTATTTACGACCGTCCAACCGACAAAGCCTTTTTTTAGAGAAGCTTCATTTTCTTCCTCTAAGAGTCTTACTTACTTACTTTGCTGGCGTAGACCCCGCTTACGCGATTATACCCGAATTACCACAATACGCCATTCGTTTCTACTTTTTGCTGTGTGGTGCCAATTGGAAATACCAAGAACAGGCAGGTCCTTCTCTACCTGGTCTCTCCAACGGAGTAAAGGTCTTCCTCTTCTTCTGCCACCACTGGTGAAAACTTTCAAAGCTGGAATGTTCGCATTTATACGGATCACATGACCTAGCCAGCGTAGCCGCTGCTTCTTGATTTGCTGAACTATATCAATGTCGCAGTATAACTCGTACAGCTCGTCGTTCCATCGTATGCGGTATTGGCCGTTGCCAACGCGCAAAGGACCATAAATCTTACGCAAAGCCTTTCTCTCGAAAACTCCTAACGCCGTCTCATCAGATCCTGTCATCGTCCATGTTCCGCACCATATAGCAGCACGAACGATGATGGCCTTGTAGAATTTGGTTTTTGTTCGTACTGCAGCTTACTCAGTCCAAAGTAGCACCTGTTGGCAAGAGTGATTCAGCGCTGGATTTCAAGGCTGACGTTATTATTGGTGTTAATGCTGGTTCCTAGATAGACGAAATTAGCTATGACTGTTAACAGTGACATCTAAGAATCAGAATGTGGAAATTGTTAATACCTAAAATTATTAAGTTTTAACATGGAAGCAAGCAGATTGGCGGAGGCTTGCCATTAACGACTGCGGGAACATGCTTTATATCTATTATAGGTTCTTCTTTACACAACGGTGAAAATCCGTTTTAACTCAATGTATTTCCTTCAACGTAAATAATGGAACTCCCGGTGTTGCACATTTTTATCAAGACTTGGTTTCCTCTTATAACCTATTACGTTTTTGTAGCAATCAACGCCTGTCTGCACTGCCGACCCTTCTTTCTACTTAGCTGTCTGATGTTGTTCCGCAACTAACCAACAGATTTGGTTTCTTCTTGTGCTGGAGAATCTGCAGTTTGCATGCAAAGAGATATTACGCTCTTTATTTTCTCTCTTGCTGATGAAGTACAGTTCAGCATTGGCGTCTTCAGAGATAAACTGTTTACTTTGCAATATTGCTGGATGGAGATTTACGCTCAACAAAAGAGAGGTATGAATTTATCTTCCAGCTATGATTGAATGCCGTCGCTCTTCTTGTATTCTCCTAGCATTCTAAAACTCCCATTTGGTAGTCGAATGCTCAAATCTAATCGACCCGCTTATCGCTTGTGCAGTCCATAACGCCGGTTAGAGCTGATAACCAATGCCGTTAATAGTGTATAAATTGTAGAAGTCAAGTTGGCATAAGCAATAGTTTGGCGGCGTTTTGGCTCCAGCACACTTCATAGCCTATTTAAAAATCTAACTAAATATTTACATAGGTAATCATATACTGTTTTTATTTGAAATGGTCTCTTGGCCGGTGCTCGTACTGGCGTTGTTGGCCTTTTGCAGCCACGACTTAACATCAGCAGAAAAATCCTGGTGGCAGACAGCATCATTCTATCAGATCTACCATCGTTCCTTTAAAGATAGTGATGGTGATGGCTTGGGTGATTTGAATGGAGTCACAAGTGTGCTGCCCTATTTAAAGGAGATCGGTATTAGTGCGACATGGCTCTCACCCTTTTTGGAATCACCAATGGTTGACTTTGGTTACGACATTTCCAATTTCACCGCCGTTGATCCGCTCTTTGGTACAATGGAGGATTTCGACCGCATGGTGGCCAAGGCCAAAGAGTTGGACATCAAAATAATTTTGGACTTTGTACCAAATCACTCGAGCGATGAGTGCGATTGGTTCATACGATCAGCCGCGCGAGATCCTGTCTATAAGGACTACTATATCTGGCATCCAGGCAAGGTGGTGAATGGAAAGCGTCAACCGCCAAGCAACTGGGTGAGCGTTTTCTACGGATCGGCGTGGGAATGGCACGAAGGACGACAGGAGTATTTCTTTCATCAGTTCGATAAGAGACAGCCCGATTTCAATTTCCGTAATCCCGTAGTACGCGAAGAGATGAATGTGCGTAAATACAAAGTGGTTTTCAATGTGGTTGTTATTTAAGGATTTGTTAAATTTATTTTTTTTTATTATAGAATATTTTACGATTCTGGCTGGATCGCGGAGTCGATGGCTTCCGCATTGATGCTATTCTCCACGCATTTGAAATAGAGGCCGATGAAAATGGCGATTATCCGGATGAACCACTGAGTGGCTGGAGCGATGATCCACTGAATTATGGTTATTTGCGACACATTTATACAGTGGATCAGAGGGAGACTCCTCATTTGGTATATGAGTGGCGGCAGATTTTAAAAGATTACCAAGCCGAAAATGGCGGTGATGAACGGTGAGTGGAGATTTTTCAGTCTTCTTCTCATCGTTATGCATGGCTGATTTCTCCATCCATCTTTACAGAATACTGATGGCCGAGGCCTGGTCACCAATTGATATTGTTATGCAATACTATGGCAACGAAACTGCGGATGGCGGACAAATACCTTTCAATTTTCAGTTGATATCCAATCTTGGTTATGACTCCGATGCATATCTCTACTCTGAAATGATCAACCGCTGGTTCGAGTACATGCCAGCTGGCAGAACACCGAACTGGGTGGTGGGTATAAAGAAAAAGATACCATTTCTCTTAAAACTTTTCTTAAACTCGACAGATCGGAAATCACGACAAGAAACGCGTGGGCACTCGCTTCGGCACGGAGCGCATTGATCTCTTCAATATACTATTACTCACATTGCCCGGCTGCAGTATTACCTATAACGGCGAGGAGATCGGCATGACGGATGTATGGATCTCGTGGGAAGAGACAGTCGATCCGCAGGCATGCAATAATGAACAAGATAAATATGAGTGGTATTCCCGTGATCCGGCACGTACACCCTTCCAGTGGAGTGACGCGGCTAATGCTGGTTTCACCACCGGCCGTAGCACTTGGCTACCGATCTCGGAGGACTACAAACGTTTGAATGTTAAGCGAGAACGTGGTGTGGCGCTGAGTCATTTGAACATTTTCAAGGAGCTGCAAAAGCTGCGGCAATTGGCTACGTTCCAAGATGGCGATGCGGAGGTGAAGGCACTAAATAAAAATGTATTGGGTGTGAAGCGGTAAGTTGAAGTTGATAACTGTGCGAATTGTGATTTTGAATACACTTATTAAATGTCTTTGCAGGTCTCTTCGCGGCAATCACACTTACATAACTCTACTAAATATCTTTGGAAACATTGAGAACTTCAATTTGCACGAACACTTTGCTAATTTGTCAGCGGAATTTGAATATGTTTTGATTACCGATCGGTCAATCAAGCATAAAGGGTGAGTATATGGGGAGGAGAGAATGAGGGAGGGAAATAAAGATAACAAATTAATTTTTCAATTTACAGCGATAAAGTATCCGCGAGCAGCGTCAGCCTCATGCCACACGAATCGGTTGTGCTGAAATCTACCATACGGCAGTAAATGACAAACTTGACCAAAGCAAAAAAGTGAATATTATTAACTGTTATCGGTGTTTTTTGACCGTCTGGTAAAATTCTCAAGTGGCACTTAAACAACTTGAGTTTATCAGTTTCCGATTTAAATTTCACTACCAAAGTTTTGTTTTTGGCTTTTGTGATATTTATTAGTCTTAGATGTAAATCTAAATAATCATAATCAACGCGATAGATGTTTTTTTTACTTGTAAATTTCAAAAAAATTTAAAATATTAAAACTGCTTATTTTTTTTTTTTTTTTTTTTTGTTTTGGGTTTGGCTTGCACCTTGGTGTTCCCATTCCCTACCTTGGGGCGACCGCGGTTAGAAATATTGGCCCAATCGTTCGACAATATTTCCAGGTTAACCTTGATTTGCAGAGCACATTGCACTATAAAAAGTTGATAACTAAATTGAGACTTTCCTTATTTTTTGGAATTATATTCAAGTGCGTCATTGCGTAAAAAGGAGAATTTCTATGAAATTCTTTCGAATTTTCCTCCATAATTTCACTAGTTTTTGTTCTTCTAATATTTTCAAGTTTCGAACTTTACTCAGTTTAACAATGGCTGCCATATTTTGCACTAATTTTTCTCTTTCTCTCTATTTCTCTCTCAACGTACTCAATCGTTAATTTTTTAGCAAGCGCGCTCTTACATTTTCGTTGGAAAAAAAGCGGAAAACATATGTTGCAAATATATTTGCTCCTGTTACGTTAAAACAAACTTAGTCCGAATGACTAAAAATATTTTTCTCAGAAAAATGCAGATATTATTTCTTATATTCGTTATCACAACATACAAATGTATATAAATACGTAAATACATGGAATTGCTTTACAATATAAGAAAGTTCATCAGTTGCATAGGAAATAATTCCCTGTTTTCAAAAAGGGTGAACACTGTTCCTCTTGACTTACGCGCTTTCGCCTTACATACGCGAACTTGTTTCTTTTTAGACACACATAAAAAATGCTCTGGAAAAAGCCGATTCTACTCCGTTAGATACATAGTACGTATGTATGTAGGCGAGCTTGTAGGCGCATATAAATTTTGTTTTCCAATTTTTTGTCATGCCGGCGAAATGGAAATGGCTCCGCCCTACAACAAAGCACCGAGCACATCAATGGCGGTCGTTGATTAAAGTCCTATTTTTTACTATTTTTTCATTAACTGTGCTGTGCGTGGCCACCCAGCAGAAAGGACGGAATAGAGAAGTGTAAACGCTCACATGGGAAGGACGTTCGTTGCTGGTTTCTTATTTTCTGTAGTAAAGTAAGTTTTTGAAGTGTAATTATCTGTGACCTTAAATGACACGGCTTAGCGGCGTCGCATAGTATTAAACTCATTATTAATAAAATTCAATTACTTCGAAATCGGGAATAATTTTTATTTTTATTTAATTTATTTATTGTTGAGGCGGCCGTGGTAGCCGAGGGCTTAGCATTGTGTACTGCCATTCGGATGGTTCGGGTTCAAATCTCGGTACAAACAACACCCGAAAGTAAAAAAATATGAAAAATTTTCTAATTGCGGTAGCCCCTCGGCAGGAAATGTCAACACCTCCGAGTATATTTCTATCATGACATAAAAGCTCTCCATAAAAAACCACCAGCCGTTCGGAGGCGGCTTAGTGGAAACCGTAGGTCCCTCCATTTGTTGAAAAAACATCAAAACGCAAAACCACTGATTGGAGGAGGAGCTCAGCGGTTGCAATTGTATTGTTTTACTTTTAAGTTATCTTGTTTTATTTATTTTTAGTTAATTTTATTTGAGGTTATTTTAATATCTATATTTTTTTTTTTAATTTTTATTACTAATTAATTTAATTAATTTAGTTTAATTTCATTTAAGTTTATTTACTTTTATGCTATTACGTTTTAATTTAATTTAATTTAATTTTATTTTATTTTATTTTATTTTATTTTATTTTATTTTATTTTATTTTATTTTATTTTATTTTATTTTATTTTATTTTATTTTAATTTACTTTATTTTGCTTACCAAATGAGCCAACTTTGTACAACAACGTCAAGGAGAGCTCCCTATGCTCACCTGTCTTCCCCATTTACTTGCCCCATCAAATTGGATTCACTTAGGTGTGCAATTTCTTATTTCTTTATTACAGTTTTTGTTGCTGTACAGTCAGCTGCATTCAAAAACAGGACTAAATCGCTAAAGTAAAAAAAGGTAAATCGTTATGTTTTGTGGGTATTTGCGTCGGTGCGGGTATTTCACACACACATCCATACATACATGTGGCTGCTTACACTTATTTGCATATCTGGCGTTGATTTTGCTGTCATTTGTGTTGCAACTGAGTGTTTGAGGACAACATAATAAGCGGCTTTTTACGAGAGGATGCTTGGTAGCGGGGTCCTGCCGGTGTTAAGCAAACATAATAAGCGACATTTCTGTGTTTACGCTTTGGCAATTATAGACATTTTGTTTACTTACTCGTATGTATTTATTTTCATTTTTAATTTTGTTATGATTTTATATATTTTCTTTGTCATTTCATTGCGAGTTATATACATGTATTTGTTTTTGTCTTTTTCAGGCGACCTCATCTGTCTGAATATCCTTCGACTATTTTTTCCTTCTTTTTTGCGTTTCAATTTTGATTTTTCCTCTCTGTCGCAACATTTGGCGGCTGTTAATCCCTTTGGTTGCGTCGAAATTATTTTTACATTTTTTTTTTTTAGAACTTTTTCTGCAATTCTCTGTTGTTATCGCTTTGTTGCAGTTGCATGCTTCATTTGCAATTGAAATTTTTTCAATTGATTATGGCCGGCAGAGTGGTATGATGAAAGTGTTGCATAAGCGGCCCGAAATGTTTTGGGAACTAGTGGTTTTGGGGTAGAGTGCTTCTGAAGCGCAGGAGAATTCCAAATAAGAAAATTTAAAATACTCTTAAACCTGTAGAAGACTGAGCATTTTTCCCGAAACTTAGCAACAGGGTTCACTGAAATAATTTTCAGAGTATTTGCATCAAGGCTGAGTCTTTTCGGGCCCCACCCCCACATATTTAGGAAGATAAATCTTACTATGCCTTGAACTGAAAGTAAACTTTGCCTCACTTCATTTGATAGATCTTCCTTTTGCCTCGAACACAAAGAGTCGTTTACCTTTTGCCTTCTTTACAATCAAAAGCATTTAATTTCAATACAAATTTCAATACAAATTGAATACAATCAAGCACAAATTTCACCCCCAGGGCGCTGCTTTTCTCCTTCTACACATTTATTCCTTCTTCTGCATAAACCGAATGAGATCGATGACGCGCCTGGAATAGCCATACTCATTGTCATACCAAGCGATCAGCTTCACGAACTTATCATTTAAGGACAAGCCCGCCTTTGCATCGAAAGTGCAAGAATGAGAGTCGTGCAGAAAGTCCGACGACACCACCTCATCTTCGGTGTAGGCGAGTATGCCCTTGAGTGGACCACTAGCCGCTTCCATGATCTTCCTTTTGATAATCTCATATGGTGCAGGCTTGTTCAGGCGCACCGTCAGATCTACCACCGACACATCAGCCACTGGCACACGCAACGCCATGCCCGTTAGCTTACCATTCAATGAGGGAATAACTTTACCAACCGCTCTCGCTGCGCCCGTTGTAGCGGGTATTATATTTTGCGAGGCGCCGCGTCCATCACGCCACTGCTTGCCACTCGGTCCGTCCACGACTTTCTGTGTAGCCGTTATTGCATGTACGTTTGTCATCAGACCCTCAACAATCTCGAAATTCTCATGTATTACCTTGGCAAGTGGCGCCAGGCAATTGGTTGTACATGAAGCCATCGAGACGATGCGCATTTCCTTGTCGTACAACTCTAGATTTACACCCACCACGAACATGGGCGCATCTGGGGAGGGCGCTGTTATGATGACCTTACGTGCGCTGCCAACAAAATGCGCCGCAGCCTTTTCCATTGTCAAAAATGCGCCTGTTGCTTCTATAATGTATTCGGCACCAGCGCTGGCCCAATTGATGGTTGCTGGATCGGATTGATTGAAGACGGGTATTTTCGTGCCATTAACGATAATGCAATCGTCCTCAGCGGTGATTTCCCCCGGAAATCGTCCGTGTGTCGAATCATACTTGAAGAGGTACGCCATGTAGTGGGGATTGAGGAAGGGATCGTTGATGGCCACTACGAAGGCGCAATCTTCGATGGCCGCACGCAAAACGAGACGCCCGATCCGTCCGAAACCGTTAATGCCAATGCGAGACATTTAAGTGCGAGTATCAATACTAGAAGTAGATAACGGTTGCTGCTAACGGTGTTTGATGTTTTAAATTTAAATTTGACTAAACGTCTGCTCTGATTTTAAAATAGCAAACTCGAAAAAAAATACAGAGAATTTTGAAGCCCTCAAAAAATTAGTCAAAAAGATTTTTGAATTAAAACATATGTATGTATGTATAAATTGAAGGCAATTTCAAACGAAGAAGTAAATGAATTATTCCAGAAAACTATAAGAGTTGAAATACGAGCAAACATTGGTCGCGGTGTAGCTTTGCACTGAGTAGGCATTTAAAAAGTAAAGACTGGTGGGGTTCGTTCACAAACTCGTTATCTATGAACTCGTTCGCTGCCACCAAATCTTCTCAGCGAACTCTTCGTATTCGCTCATTACGGCCTCATTTTGTTCCTTTCAGAAAATGCCCTTTGCTACAGTGCGGCAATCCTCATCGTGCCACATCTTCGGTGCGTTGTACACAGGAAGCGTATTCATTGTACGTTGGTAAAGGGACCGAACATGTCCACCGCCGATGCAGTTTTCGGCCAAGCCTCCACTTTTTGGTGAGCGTCTTGATGTTTCTCCAACAAAAGAAATACTCTCGGAAGCCTGACAGCTTGAAAAATCGTGGAGTTCTGTTTTAATGTCTCTCTTAAATCGTTGTGCAACTCCAAACAGTTTTGTTATCCACCGCGAAACGAATTAATTCACAACAACACAACGAGTGGACTGTTAATATCAACAACAAAGAATTAATATAAATAATATGCATAAGACACAAATTAAATATGAACGCAAAGCGAACCCTTTTGAGCTGAAGGACTCCACTGAAGCACAGCGAAGGTAACTGCGTAAGGAAACCATACCAATTAACCTAAAACGGGGCGTAGCAAGCAGCTAAACAGCAAGATAATTTGAAGAGCACAAAAGAAATATGGCCGAAAGTCCATCAAGTAGCGTGGGTTAAATATGCAAAAGCTTGGCCAATTTCAAGGAGGCGACAATGAGTTTTGGAAAATTGTTGCGCCGAATGCTTGGTGTCTGCCTTGGTGGGTGATTCTTTAGAGGCGTTATAATTAAAGCGCATTAATTATACGAAAGGAGCAAAAGGAGATTTCAAAGAGAAGCAAAAGAAAAAAAAAAAGACCAAAGTCTTTGAAATATCTTTCTCGATATTTGTAAATGCAAATCAATTGCCGTAACACTGATCATTTCAGCCTGCTAACTAACATACAAACAAATAGACACGCAAACATATATAGCAACTGAGTATATTTACAAATGCTTTTGCGGTCTTAACGCTGTTTAGCATATATTTAGGCGTAAAGCATTTGAAGACAGTTCCTTACGCAGCTCATTAGCATAGAATTTCAAGAAAATTTACAAGCAAATGACAAATTTGCATCGGTGACGTATGATGCGGAGGCGCAGCGAAGACGATGAAGAAACGCTGAAGACCACAATTGCCTTTGAGTTGGCAAGAGACGACCATTCTGTGGTCCTTGGCTAGCACAATTAATAATAAGAACTCATTTGGAATTTGTTTTGCTGTATATGTAGCTATAACAGTACGCGTAAACACACATAGAAACTCACACATATATAAGCACAATAAATAGCATAATTGTTGGAGGTTTGGCGTTCTCTTCATTCGCTTCGTTGATTATTTAGTTATGTTTGACTTTTGTGGCTGTATTTGTGGTTTTTGTTTGTATTGGGTGTCCATTGAATTGTTTATGTGTGTTTAATATTTGTTGAAAAGGGTTTTTCCTGCTCGAACTCAAATTAAATGCCATTAGAATTGCAAATTACGCAGCGGGAAAATTTGCATAAAATCCATTTTGGAAAATACGCCGCTGATAATTTGATAAGATGACAATGAATTGCAGTTAAAAATAAAATAAGAAATAAAAATTATGAAAAAATTAATTTAATTATTTAATGAAAAGCAAATAACTATCATCCAGCATTATGCTTTCATTCAAATTGTGGCGTTAAGTCGCTAAGAGCCTTGAAAGTTATTACGAATACAGAGGCTTAAAACTGTTAGATAGTAAAGAGCTTATGCCCAATTTCCACTTTAGTTCGTACACTCGTGTTTTAGAGTGATGAGGGAACTATTAAACTAGAACTAATAAATTCATAGATGACGACTTTGACCCGGTTTCAGATGAGCATTTATAGAATACCCTCACGCTCCAAAATAGAAGGATCGACAAAACGAGTTTTATGAGCTGCCAGTTTTCCTAGTTTTTCAGAGTATCTTCGACCTGACGCTCACAACTTGGTTGCAAATACAGCAAAAGAAAATTTGAATATATCTTTACGTCAGGCATATATTTACCTGCCAAACAATAACAATTAATTATTAATTTAAATAGTCCTTTTACGTCCTGCTGTCAATTGCATTTAATTAACAAGCATTTCAGTGTTGCCAACAATGTAGCATTAAATTTTTTAATATTTTCACCGCGTACATCCGCTTTGCTTATCGTCAGTGTTCAGAGATAAAAATATTTGCACACACATACACTCACGCACATGTGGACTAGTGCTGCAGCATATAGTCACAGGTATTCAAAAGCGAAAATGATTATTGACCGCATTAAAAATTTAATTAACATCCATTAATCGAACGATAAAACATTTGTGAACAAAACCACTCACGCACACACACACACACACACACCCAAATAGAGCAGGGCCTTCCGTGATACTTTTGTGTGTATGTGTGCGTGTGTGTCAATATGGCTGTGGCTGACAATAAAAGCGACTTACCTTAGCGGGCGATAAAAAACGACACAACGCCAAAAAATATGCAAGAGAAAAAAAAAAGTGAAAAAAGCCTTTTCGTAGTAACAAATAGGCCATGAGTCTCCGAGTCCGCCAAGCCGAAATTTTCATGCAAAAATGCAAGCTAGTGCAAAGTGCCTTCCGGGGTATGGGGTTGGTGTGGCCTTATATGTATGTACATTCATCATGCATTCATTCATTCATTTCGCTTGTAACATGTGTAAAGCCGAACATTTTTTTTTGTGATTTGTTTTTGGATGTCTCGGTCTCCGTGTGTGCGTAAGGATTGTTGGTTTTTGTCTCTTGCACCCGCGAGATTTTTAAGTATTTGTTTGCATAAAATATCTATTATATGCATTTAAACATACATACATACATACCCCTATGTGCTGCATTAAAAACAACAAAATAACTAGACCAATAACAATAACAACAAATATAATGTAAAGTGATGCACTCGCATGTTGCATACTTTTCGGCGTAACCGCATAAAACAATTTTCATTTCCTTTCAACAATACAAGTAACGGTAAGCAAATATACACACACACCCACACACACGCAAAGTTGACTAAAGGCCTCGTCCTGAGTGGCTTGAACGCCAGTTGGCCGCGGTGTGATGCGGTACCGCCAGCCGCGGAGGCTGCAGCGTCAAGCGTCATCAGTCAGTTAAAAAAAAAAAAATATTTTCAATAATAATAAAAAAAAATACATGAAAAACTACAACAATGGAATACAATAAAGCAAAAACAAAGGCAAAAGCTGACTTTCATTTGCGCACACTCCCCTTCTCTCTCCCTTTCCATCACCGAATTCAAACTCTTTTAATTGTCAACGCGAAATAACAAAATGAAAATGACCTAAAAAAGATGTGTAGCAACAACAAAAACAACAACAACGGACACAAGCACTTTTTGTCCACAATGCAGCCAAAGCATCAAAAATAAATATTAAACATAAGCTAAGGCAGAGTAAAATACGGTTTTGGCCGATCATTAAATACCCAACTAATATTTGTGATGAAAGTTCGTTGTGAGAGAAAATACGAAGTAAGAAGGAAAATATATACCAGTGAAGCTCGGACTGGAAGCTCTCTATGAGACCATCAAGGGTGATACCAAGGGAACTCTGCTTCAGGTCGGAACAGGGGTGCCTCCAGCTCCAGTGCTCCAGTCGGCCCGGAATTCCAAACTTTTTCCAAATTTCTTCACGTACTGGTTGTACCTTAAGGGAAAGATCAGTATGGAGGTACCCTACCCATCCTTCTGCACAGGATGTAAGCTTCCAGACTCACTGCGATGAAGTCACAGATTCGATTCCTATGATTCCTTGTCAGCAGTCAGATAGGCATCCATTCAACCACCCTATCGTGCGTTGGTCTCCCACTTCTGCTTGGGTAAATATTCGATCCTTCCACTCAAACTTGGATATCGAAAGGATAGAGAAGCTCCTCGCCTTTCCAAGCTTAACGATTTACACCCGGTGAAATTGCCCGATCGGTATTCCAACAGCAACGCTTGGATTTTGCCGAATCTCTATTATCGAATTTGTTTGCAGAAGGAGTTCACCTACGCACTTTCTTCTGCAAAATGAAGGAGATGGAAAATATTAGAATAGTTCACAACCCCACGGCACTAATAGCTGAACCTTAGGTATAAAAATATATTTCTGTTGCCTGTGTATTTTTTGTGGCATGCGGCATGTGGCATGTGGCACTTGCGGCTACTATACACATGTTAAAAAGCAAATGTTTGCTGCACAAGAGAGGAGTTGAGTTGAGCGGCGACCAGCAACTTCATGCCATAGAAGAGGTGGTCAGTTGTTGGTGAATTGGTAAAATAATTGCTTCGCATTTCCGGTAAACTACATACACACACAAACACTAACACTTGCACGGGCATAAAATATATGTCTCTTTATGCCTCTGTGCGTTTGATATGAGCCACTCAGCATTCAAAAACATGCAACAGCACATACGTAGAGACTCAAACGACTCAACGGAGCGCGTCAATCCAAACCGCGAAAATCCATTGTGGTCGCGCTATGGAAATGAACACACACACACACTCACACACACACACGAGTGCTGTTTGGAAGTTACGTCTTTTTCTTCTTCTTTTCGCTTTATTTACATTGCATGTCGCGGGCAGAAGATGCACCACTTCACTCGTTGATGTGCTCTGTATGAATTTCAAAGCTCTGAGCGCCTAAAAGCATTCTTCGAAAAATTGTAAAATAAGCGAATATTATTTAGGGATTATTCAAAGGCTTCGGAAATACTTTTATATTTATATATGTAC